ATTTTGACTGGAGCATGCTAATGCTTTTGCTGGGACTAAAACCCAGAGGTTCCTGGCTAGGGGTTCTTGTTCTTCTGCTCAGTACCAGACTGATCACCACATTTGGGGTCAGGAAGGAATTTTACCCCATGGTCAGACTGATAGGGACGGTGGGGGCTTTTGCATTCCTCTAGTGGGGGGTATGACCCTCTACCTGGTACCGCTCAAGCCTATTTGAATAACTGTTGAAGCAGCAGAATATTGGCCACCATTATGCTCTTGGCTTTACCTTTTGCAGGTTATGGCACTATGCTTTGCAGCTGTGTGGCAGGGTTGATTGTGCAGTTTTAGTGACAGGCCAGACGATAGATTTGTATAGTGGTGGTTTGGATGGGGATGATTTGCCTCAGGCAAGGGGTCAAACTAGATGACCTCTAAAGGTCCCTTGGAGCCCTGCTTTTCTATGATTTTGTAACTGCAGCAGCATTCACATTTCAGCCGCAGTCCTACACGTGTTAAACTCTGACCCCTACTGGAACAGTTCAACAACTACTAAGGTAGGACTGAGATACAGGTCTCGTCTTATTTTCTTATGTTAGAGAGCTCTTTCATAAATCAGAAGCCCTTTCTTTAGCAAGGTTTTTGACCAACCAAAATTAGGGCAAATCAGGGAAATAATGGTAAAACTGCCAAAAGAGGCAGTATAATCATCATCTTTTGAAAAAACGCATTAGACAATGGGTTTACTGGGAATGAGAGAAGTAATTCTGGTACAGACAGACATATAAAATACTTCCAATTGCATCTGATTTTTGAACAGTTTTGTTTGGTCTTCAGCAGCACGCAGATATAAAGCTGCCTCCCAGATAAAGTGCCACCGTGAAGCACTTCAGAGTTATGCAGGGTCATTCTTTTTGTAACAGTTTAAGACAAAACTGTAGTGCAACAGCTTTGTGTGTCATCTCTCCACTCAATTTTTACAGCATTTTGAAGTTGTGTGAAGCACAATAAATGTCATCTGCCTCTGCCCTATGAAACCTGTCTTGCAACAATGCATGGAATCAAAGATGAATCAAAAAGGTACCTTTAAAGCTCGTCAATTAGAAAAGCAAAACATAGCATCTTAACTGAAGAACTTTTTTGACAACGAGAGGTCAACATTCAACCAAGGAGCTGATCTAATTACTATTACATTTTTGGTTGGCTTGCAAGTTAACAGCTTGAAGACTACTTTCTCTAAAATGATCACTAACATTTATACAATCAAGTCTCAAAGTCCACTTCAGAATTTATTTTACCTTAAATGAGCTGTGCACTAATGTTTCATCTAAATCAATGACCACACATTTCTTCCCATAGTCCAATGCTGTCAATTCTGGCAGGAGGTATTTAGCTGGTGGCTAAAGAAAAAAAAAACAAAAAAAAAAACACATTGAAAATGTAAATATTTCAAGTATTAACCAAAGGTACAAATTCCCAGCACTACTGTAGTAGCTCTGGGCATTAGGATGTCACAAACACACAAGTCAAAGTTGGGCAGCTCTCTGTTTTTTTTGTTTTTTATATCAGTTGAACACAGCTGAAAATTAAAGGCGCATGCAATACACATGCACACACACATGGATTTCTGTATTTGTTTCTTTAATGATGAGAAACAGTTTGGAGATGAGTTTAAGCAAATACAAATGAACATAGCAAAACAATTTGCAGCTAGACAGTGGTGAAAATGGGACAGTTAATAAGATGACTCACCACCTCCAACAGCTCATTTGCTTATGCCTCAAAATAAGCAGGAGATATTTGCAACCTGTATCTTGCTTTCCATCTCAGGCTCCAATGCAACAATTGGAAGCATAAATTTCTCTCCACAGGCAGGGATGGCTGTGATGCTTACAGAAATCAACACTTCCATTTGCCATGATGCATGCTGAGATGAAGGAACTGAAAGATGAGTCCCAATTTTAAAGTCAAATGAGACCGTGTAGATTGTCATTTCCAGCAAGGGACTCCCAAAATATCCATGCCTTTGCATGGATTAGATGATCTGAATCAAAAGAATAAGACTGTACCCGATCTCTGTCAAATGCAGTTTTGTTAGAGTCCAGTACCAATCATAAAAGTACAATGCTTCCTAAACTATACAGGGGAATTCCATAAAACTTCTCCCCAGAACAGTTTGTGAATGGTACCCATATCTTGGGGAATATAAAATGCAGCTGGGATAGATGACTGGGGTAGGGGGGAGACGATTTATCAGCCCAATCCCCATCCGATACCAGTCGTCATCACTTGTTTCCCCAACTCTGAAAATACTGGAAGAGAAGGAAAGCATTCACCTGAATGCTTACTGGAATTCAGACATTAAAATGCTGCCACTCTCCCAAGGGAAACTTTTAATGAAAGAAAGAGGCTAGTTCTGAAAGTGAAGGAATTTTCAGGTCAAGTGTATACAGCAACTCAGTACTGTTAGGAACCAGACATGGCAATGAGTTTTAAAAAAATCCACAAGCAAGGCCTAAAAATACAATGATTTTTACCAGGATGAGGCAAAGTCCCAGTACAGGCAGTCCTCAGACTTACGACACAATTGCTTCCTGAAAACCGCATCTTAAGTTGAAACGTTGCAACTCGGAACTGATTTTCCCACAGGAAATAATGTTATAAATGGGGGATTGGTTTCTGAACCAAGGCCGGATGATACCCTGTTTTCACCAAAAATAACCCAGAATTTTGTACTCAATCAATTATAGATGTGTAATATAGCTACATTAATGTGTTTATATTGTAAATAGCAATCTTATCAATTTGGAAGGACTTCTTTGAGACAACTTTGTTGGACTTTTGGAAGGGCTCTTGGCTACAGTCTTCCCAGGAGTCTCAGCTGCAGGTTTTTCTGGAGCCTTGGCTGCTTTCTTAAAGGAAGTGTGCAAGGAAGTTTGGACAGATGTTCTCCAGGGAGATGGGCAATGCGGCAAACTTGTTTGCTGGCATGGTGGCGTGTCGGATCAAGTGTTGTAAAGTTGAAACGGACATCGTAAAGTTGAAACAGGGTGTCAATTTATAAACTTCGTAAGTGCGAAATGTTGCAACTCCAAATGCTGTAAGTTGAGAACTGCCTGTGCTTCATCCTTCCTCTAGTGTGTACAGGGCCCATCTACACAGTAAGGTTTTTCAGGTGTGAAACTCCTAATACTGCATCTTTAGCTCTATTTTGGTATAAATGAATGAAAATACATAAGGTCTTTCTAACATGTATACACATTTTAGTTATCAGGACTAGAAAGGCAAACTGATCAACAGTATCATTTTTTGCTTCCTTAGAAAGCAAAAAAGTTAACTTACAATATACACTGCTATCAGTGTTCAAAACATTCATCCACTGACATCCAGGGACTCATAATGTTGAGCAGAAGAGTGATGTATGTGTGCATACATATTTTTGAGACACTTTGTGAAGCACCTTCTTGTTGCCTTTTACGGCAGTAGCCTGAGAAACCCGAGGTCACTACTGTAAACTGTACCAGGGTCAGCTAGCTGTATAAGATTACTGCTGTGTACAGGGTTGCAGCCGGAGAAGAGTAGTCTGTAGTTCATCACTGTTCTATTTCAGCTGTCACAAAATATTTACCATAATTTTTAAAGACAAAACTCTTGGTATAAACCACCAGTTAGAAATCTGAAAGTACTTTCGACCGATACTGTATACTCTTCCCGTCTGTGCACGTTAAATATTCAGTGCATCCCATGAATGGAGGAAAGATTCCCATGTTCACATTAACTGTGTGTGTTGACTCAACAAATGGATAAATAAAATTCTCAAGACAGGTCAAATGACAGGTCATGACATGCTAAAATGTGAACTTCAAAATACTTGTTACCTCTGTAATAAACCCCCATTTGATAAATGTATGTAAATTTATCCCCAGCAAGTGTTGCTTTCAATCAATTAGCTTCTCAAATACTGTTAAGAATTTGAAATTACCACTATAAAATCCTCAGATACATAATGCTCTTGGGGATGGTGGGCACAGGGGGGAGAGGAAGATGGGAGCATTCAATGTTGGTCCAACTTATCCCACACAAGTCACTGAGAGTTTCCTGAGACACAGGGCACAAACAGACAAATGTTTTGAGCACTTTAAGGAGTTTAACTGAACTACAAATTAGCTTGGGTCATATATAAATGTCACTATACAAAAACCAGGGATAAACTCTAAAGTGCTTCAGAGTTACACTTTGGCAGGGAGGCAGTTTTTATTGGCACACTACAAATTAAAATAC